TGATATATGTGCGCATTTTTTTTTTTTTAATTTGTTGCATAAATTATTTTTTTTAAGTTTAAATTCTATCAGAAGAATTAGTTATTCAGTTCCACGATTTTAAAAAGTTGTAGGATTTAAAATTAAAAAATGGCAAACCTGCGCTTTTAAAATTTAATAAAGTTTGTTAAATAATTTTTAGAATAAGCAACTATTTAATTAAAATTTGTAATAAAAGTGAATATATCTTAATACAAAGTAATTCTTGGGACATATAAAGAGTTTTAATTAAAAAAAAAGATCAAAATAATTTTGTCCACCATATGTCTAATATCTGGCTCACTTTGCACAGGTTAACATACTTTTTTTTTGTGACAATATTTGGGATTTCATTCCAAATATCTTTACAATTTGGTGTGATGGTGAAAAGTGAGTAGCATAAATGAGTTGCATGATATATTGCTCAAATTAGGAGCTGATGTAAATATAACTTTGTTTTGTTTTCTAAAAAATAGGCATTCAAAATAGCAAATTGTTGTTTATCTAAGTTTAGATAAAGTATTTTTTGAATGGCGGTCATTAGTTTTTAGTTATTAATTAAGATCACTTTTTTTAAAACTGTTTCAAAAAATGTATTAAATAAAATACAGATGTTATTTTCATATAAAAAATAGCACTTGCTTAATGAAAGTTTAATTAAATGGTGTAAATCTACCTTTTTATCGTGCTCACCATTTTCTCTCTCCTGATTCCATTCCCTACCTAAACAAATCTCTTATTCGTCCCTGTATGGAATACTGTTATCATATTTGGGCTGGTTCTTCTAATGATGCTCATTCTCTTCAAGATAAGGTTTAAAAACGCATTGTAAACAGAGTTGGACCCGGTCTATCTCCAAAGCTTGAGCCTCTTTGTAAAGTTGCATCTCTTTTTCTTTTCTATAAATACTATTATGGTTGCTGCTCAAAGGAGCTTTCATCTTTAGTTCCATTAATCAAAACTCATTCTTGCTTGACTTGTCATTCATCTAAGTCTCATTCTTCGACTGTATCTGTCTCTTCATGCTCCAAAAACTTTTATTTGTTTAGCTTATTTCCACGCACTTCAACTTTTCGAAACTCAGTCCCATCTTCATGTTTTCATGACTCATACAACCTTCAACTTTTTAAGTCTTATGTCAACCACTTCATTGCTGTATAACTCTACTCTTTTTTTCTAGCAACTCCTAACTTGATAGTGGTTGCTTGAAGCCTTATTGGGAGTGAAAAAGAATTAAAAATATATAGATAACAATGCTTAAATAGGTTACTTTTAAAGCTTTTTCCTGTAAACAAAGTAAAAATAAAAATTTATCCAAAAAATTCTAAGTAATGCGCAAAGTTTACTTTATTTATTATTTAATTATGATAGTAATGCAGGATAAAAATATCAAAATGCCATCAGTTGGAAAATCGGTAAAAAAGACCAATGCCAATACTGATTGTGCAAAAAATGGCAGATTAAGCCGATGCCGATTAATCGGTACATCACTAGTCATTAGTATTGCGGTGTTAATTTAAACATAATTAGATCATGTAAGTATAAACACATTTTTTAAATATACTTTCATGGTTAGATTTACAAGTTAAAAACTTGTGACTTTTTCGGAAAAAAGCAATAGCATTTCTAAAAGAATAGAAATAGTTTTTATTAAAATAATAATAAAAAATAGTGTCTGCTATCGCGCTTACCATTTTTACTTTCGAATATTGGTATCAACTATTTCTATTTAATGCTATTTATTGTGCAAACGTATTGCCTACATAAACAAACTTTTCCAGACAGAAATATGGATTATAAAAGCAAGACCAATATTTTGTATTTATTTTAAAGTTTAAAGAATTTTACACAAATAAATTTGTTTTTCTTTTAATTGTCATCAAAAAGAGATTTCAGAAGATCCTCTCCACTATCGTTTTAACTGTTGCTAAGGAAGCAATTGTTCTTTTTTTGTTTACCCGATCTTTATAAATTCCCGTTGGTTTTTGGTTGGGGCGTCTTCCTTTATCACTCCACCACAATTCAATTGCAGGAAGAAAATTAAATTCTTTCAGCAATGGACCATCTTCCAAAATGCGCAAAATATTTGAAACACACGATTCTGTTAATGAGATTCGATAATTTGATTTTACACTTTTCATCTTTGAAAACATTCTTTCCAGTGTAGCGTTAGAAATTGGCAAAGTAAACAAACAACTGTTAAAATAGAGGTTCGTGATTGACTTCTAGGTGATACAAATATGCGTCGCTAGGTAATTCGGTATCATGTTTCAACTGGGGATAAAAATTCTTGAGCATAACTTAGCATTTCTTTCCATTGAGTTAAGATATCTGGAAAAACAACAGCAGCAGAGCGTAACGGCTCTTGAAAGTGTTTGCATATATAATTTAAAGCTTCATCGGCAAAATCTAAATTTCCCGTTATGATTCCGCTTTCATCTATAACCTCCAGAAGCCAACCGTTGCAATTTAATACTTGGGATGCATACTTTAAAATAAGAGTACTTTCTTTTTCGTTTTCTACACGTTGTATAATACAGTCCCTGACTACTGTTAAATACTCCACAGTTTTTGTTTTGAAAATTTTGAACTCACGCTCAAAGTTTTTAAGTTCAATGTCATGATAATTATGTTTGCCGTTTATTTTTTTGATTTGTGAAAGAAAATCTTTAACTCTAGGCAAATTTTCAAGACTTTTTTTCTCAAATAATTCCCATCTTTCCTTTGCTTTTGTTCATTACTTGAACTTAAGCAACTTGATCATCCCAAAAAGACTTTGAAAGAAGAAGGAAAGAAAAAGGGAATCTTTGAAAGAAAGAGGGAATCTCGAGTAAATCAATAAAAAATGCAAATAGAAGTGGTATTTTTCCTTTTTTCCATTTTAGGAAATATAAATCGCGAAGCTGTCGGAGTTTTTTTAGTGCTTTTAGGTACAAACAATAACTTCGTAATATAATTTCATCTACAAGATCGAATTCTGTATCTTTTAAAGCATCTGCAATAGCTAATTCTAAACGGTGTGCAACACATTAAATAAACACAAGCCACAGACTTTTTTCACGAAGTATGGTTTTAACACTACTTGATCGCCTCTATTTAGTGTAGCCCCATCTGATGTAAAACCAATGCATTTAATAGATGTTAGCAAATTTAGAAAGCATTCTTCTAAAACCTTTACAACACCTTGGGCTTTTCCAGATTCCAAATGTTTTATATCTAAAAACGAAGTCCCGATTTCAACTGCACCCGAACCAATTGGCTGTCGATCAAAATATAATGCATACACCACTTCATTTTCAATAACTGAACTGTCTGTTGAACCATCACACAATACACTATAAAATTTAGCATTTCTAAGGCTATCATGTAACAAATTTTGCAGACTTCTTGCAACATAGTCATTAGATACAACGCATTGGCGATCTGAAATATAGGATTCGCCCATATTTATACCGAAAAGCTCAACTCATTTAACAGTTGGAACAAACTTTAAAATAGGTAACTGTTGTTTCGCTATAAAATAAGAAAGTTGAAATTTTTTTAAGGGTTTTTTCAAGGTCATTTTTTTCCATTTTTTTCAAACCATCAGTGATTGTTGCGTTATTTTTACAGGGCAATAAAGGTTTAGATTTTTTAGCATTTGGAAAATTATTAGATTTTTTAAGAGAAAGAGTGCATGCTTTTAAGTGCGGTTGAGACTTACAATGATCAAGAATATTCGATTTTCTATAGTTTGCTGGTCCGACTATGAATGTATTCGTATAGTATGGCATAGTTTTTATTGTATCATTAAACTCGCATTTTAAGTTTTTTACTTTTTCATTTGAATCAATGTCATAAAATAGCCATTCGCTAAGTGAATACTCAGCAAGCTCCGACTTCCAAGTTTCTACTGCCGATACTGATACTTTACGAGGATTTGCCGTAATCTTACTTGTTTCTTCTTTGGCATTTTTTTCATGTATGGACCTAAAAGTGGTTTAAACAAAGAAAATATAGTTTTTTGAAATTTTTTTTTTGGTGGCTCAACGTTTGAACACTTTGAACATAAGGCAAATTTCTTAATTTCCTCACTATAAGATAAGTCGCCAGTTTTTCCCCAAAACAGCTCATTTCATGCACATATACTTTGTATTTCTTTCACGACAAACAGATCAAACTGCTTCCATTTTTTTTTTTAATATCATGCCCTTGGTTAGAATAATGACAACACATTATCATTACAAGTATTTCAATAATATATTTATTGTCAAATATAAAACTTCTGTTTACAAAATTTAATAAGATTAGAAATAAGTTTAATTAGAAGTAACAAATAGATTTACCTTACAAGAATTTCTAATTCAATTCAAGATTCAAAATCAAATCCACAGTAAACAGAAAACTATTAAAAACGTAACATGTTGAATTAAATTTTATTGTTTACAAAATAATAATATTAACGGGGAAGCTGTTTTTAAAATGAAAAGTAAAAACGTAAGAAATGTGTTTATGTTAACCCCCATTAAAAATAGCTTGCTCATTAAATAAAATTCTTGCAGCATAATATCGTTTCCACTTTTTCTGAATCATCTCAAAAAATGACAAACTTCATCACATTGTGTACTCTTTCGTTTTCTTGTGCATTTTTGGTTAAAAAATAAAATAATAAAGAAAGTTTATATATAATATACTGAACATTTCAATAACTTTTAAATTACTAAAATAATTATAAGAAAAATTCACACAAAATATTGGTCGGGCAAAATGACCGATTTATGATGTTTTTTACCGGTCCAACGCCGGACAATGTCCGATGTCCAGCGGCTATTTCGAGCCCTGTATATGTGTGTGTGTATATATATATATATATATATACATATATATATATATATATATATTCATATATATGTGTGTGTGTGTGTGTTATGTTTGTATTATATATCAAATTAAGTAGTAAATAACGAAAAGAAATTTATTATGGTTTTATTTTATTTTGATAGCTTGGTATCAAGTTGTTCGTGCATTTATGGTTATAGCTGTGATTTTCAACTTAATTGCTTTCTTGCTTGGGTTTAAAACATTGTCTTTGGCCCCAGCACTTAAGCATCGTAATGAAAAGCCACCTGCTACACCAATGTTAATACCGGCCTTGTTTATGTTTTTAGCAAGTAAGATATTTTTATTGATTTTATATCAGTGTATTTATTTGTTTTTTAAGTAATTTTAAGTTTACATTTTCTTTCAATTTATTTTTGCTAATCAAGTTTTTAAAGAAGTTTTATTGAAGTTTTTTTTACTGTCTTGTAAGTTTGTAAATTTTTTGTTAAATTTACAAATTTTGATTCAGATTAGTTTTTTAAACACATTTTGAAGTGTTTTTTTTTCTAATTGATGTTTTGAATGTTGATTTATCCATTGCTTGACATTTGTATCACTCCAGCTTCTTTATTTAAAGTGATTTCCTACTTAGACTCTTTTACTCATTTTTTGGTATGTTGTCTGTGGTCCAGACAACATACCAAAAGTGTTCTCCAGAGCTGTTATATATACTCAGGGTTCGTACCGTACCTGGAAAACCTGGAAAATTAGGTAATTTTGGCTTAAGTTATGGAAAATCTGGAAAAGTCAAGGTTTCTTTTTTTTTTTAGATAGTCATGGAAAAGTCAGGGAATTCTGATTGAAAAGTTATTTTAAAATTAAGCTATTATGTTTTAGTTGGAGCTACCGATTTATTTTTTCTAAAACTTATGTTTTTCTTAGTGTTTTTTTTTAGCCATTTTTAATAATAAGATCCATACTAACATGTATAATAAGATCCATGCATGTCTAAAAGCTAAGATCCATGTATGTCTAAAAGCTAAGTTTTATAAGTCATTCAAAGCATGTACAATTTTAGCATTTTTGTTAAAGTAGATAGTAATTTTAAACATTTTATAAAAACCATTGTTGAAAATGGTCAGGGAAATTTTCAAAAAAGTCAGAGAATTTTATATAAATATTTGGCTATGAACCATGTATACTTTCAAAACTATTTAACAAGTGCCTATCAGAGGCTTGTTTTCCAGCCGAATTATTAAGAATGTAAATGCCCAGGCCAAGCATGTGACTATTGGAGTCTTTATGAGTTAAAGGAAAATAACCATCAACAAGATGAGACAGCTGAACTCAAATTAATCTCACAAAGAGCAAATAGGTCTGGTGAACTTTGCAAGAGATAAGACTCAACAGAAGAAAAGTTACTTCGAAGACCACAAATATAAGGAAATGATAGATTTAAAGAACTTGTTAATGAAAATGGTTTTTTGTATATTATAGTTTTTGATGCTTTAGTCATTTTTTAAATTGGTTAAAGAACTTGATTCAAAGCACAAATATTACTCAGTACACTAACAGTCCAAGCAATTGTCTTATTACTACTAATAAAATCTAAGCTGTAACAAAGGGCTCTAAATGTGGCCTTGACAATGCACACCAAAAGTACAAACAGGGACACCATCCATGCGCAACATGGCACTGTTAGTACTCTGATATTTTACAGCTGTTGATGGAATCAGCCTCTCTGAGAGTTACCACAGAGGTTCCAAAACCTGATTACCAGCCATCCTCCGAACCATAAAAATGAGTTTTACAGCTGTACTCTTGTTAGGAGATAAGAAAATGAGTTGCCTAGTCATAAAAACTGTGACAAGCAAAACCTATGCATTGAGTCAAGAAGATCCAGTATTCAATATTCTAAACTGGAAACAATGTATTATAAATACATCTACACCAGCATAGATGAAGAAGGGGTGCAAAGCTGGTTAACAGATAGAATCTGTCTACGCCTTAAGTCTTTGCCTAGGAGGCCTTCTACAAGACAGTAGTTAGATACATTTTGGTCTGCCGTATTTCCGTATGTATTTCTATGGAGACACCATATCTAGCATTACCCCTGTTTCTACTGCTATATAATAAAACTATAAAAAATTAGATACCTAAAATAACACAATGCATCTTCTGGGTACAAATAACGTTGTATTAAAAAAAGAAAATAGAAAAACAGACTCAAGTACTAATATAAAGTATATCCTAATTACAAAAGCAAAGTTACAAACAAATTTTTTAGAACGGTTTTTCTTTATCATTTCTTAATTTCCTTTTTATTGTTTAAAAATTAATTTGTGATGTTGAAATTGAAGTATTTTTTAGTTCTTGAGTCAGCTTTAAAATTATTTTGTTATTTATTTAGTTGTTTTTATCAAGAAAACAATCTACAACAAAAAGCCAATTATTGTATAACTAGAATTGATCTGTGTTAAACAGTTTTAAATATCTTACTTTTAAATTAGTTCATAACTACGGTGCTCTTAAACAGTAAAAAAAATTGTTTCATCAATCTCTAAAATTCAACTAGAAGAAAAATATTTTGTCATAAAGGACAAAACAAGACTCTAAAATGTACAGCTCACAAAATGGCTTAGTATTGTATTTTAAATAAACTTATATTTAAAACACAATACTAAGTAAATAATAAAATAAATTTTGCAGAAACATTCAGATAAACTAGTCTTAAATTTAATATTCAATATGAAGTTTAAAAACAAATTGGTTACCAAATATTAAAACTTATCTGTGGTTGATATTTATGGTAAAAAAAATAGCTATGATTTATCCAGTTTCAGAATTTTAGTCAGTCATTGCTTATGTTTTTTATTGTATTTTTTTTTTTTTTTTTTTTGATGTCTAACTTTAGCATTGTTCTCACTTTTGGGCTTGGCTACATTTGGTATTGCAACAGCGATGAATGAATCTCTTTACTTTCCTGAAAAACTACCTCCTACTTGGGCAAATAGTTGGGCTCAGGTTTGTTTGTTTTTATTAGCAATTATGTCAAATTTTATTATTTACTCATCCTTATGTGTAGCATATCTTTTAGTTGAAATTTAAATATTATTATTGACAGTTTAAGAAGTTTTAAATGTATTTTTTTTTTTTCTGGCAATATTTTTGTAATATATATAACAAGGTTAAAAGACTAATAAAGGGTGAATTGGGGTGAATCTAACTACAACATAAGTCTTTAGTTTTTAGAGTATTGCTAAATTTAATCGACTCAAATAAAGAGAAATACTATTTAAAGACAAACAGGATTCAGGAAGTGTATTATGTGTGAAACTATATATTTCAGCTCAATTAATGTCATTATACATGTAAAGATTTAAACCTAATGTTCTTATGATGTTTACAAACATTATTAACATTAATAACATTATTAGCAGACATAACATCAATCATCACTAATCTCTGAATCATCAAATGCACATAAACTGAATATAAAATATTTTCAATGCTTTTTGTGATTGTTTTTAACATATGTGAGGTTACAACACTGGACATTAAGTAATTTATTGCACTTGTCTGATTTTGCATCTAAGGAGTTAAATGCAGCGTCCATATAAATTTTGAGTGTGCTGTAATTTGTTTGTTGTATTAAATTTTTCTGTTGAGCCTTTCACAAAAAAAGAGATGTGCTTGTAAATTTGATAAGATTTTGAGTAATTTACTTAAATACAACAGTAAATACGTGTATAAAAAGATAACAAGGTAGCGAGTTGAATTAAACTATTTGCCAAAAAAACATTAAAAGGTTAAACTGTTAAAATACTATAAATAAATTTTATATATTATATAATTATTATAGCTATTACATGATTATTATATATGATATAATAACTGTTATAGTAGTTTATATTGTTATAATAACTGAGTTATTAAATTATCAAGACAGTCTGTAAATACTTTACAAATTAAAGTAATCAGCGATACTAACATGTATATTAACACTTTTTAAGCCAGTTTTCAAACAAGCGCAGCTATATTGCGTAGCAGATTTATATATAAATTAAAAAAAAACTTTTCAAAAAAAAACCACAAATAAAAAAATCATTTTTATTAATTAAAAACCACTTTTTTTTTTCAGAAAAAAAATGAACAAAAATCTTAAGCAAAAAATGCATTTTTAAGTTTTAACCGTAGGTGGAAAAAAATAATAAAATTTTGTACTCAAATAAAACTGTTACTTGAGTAAAGTAAAAAGAGTACCAGTAAATGTGTCGGAAAATTTACTCGAGTAAAAGTAAAAAGCTAGTAAATGTAATTCGCATTAGCGTCAAAGGGTTATAAATTCTTAGTAATTTTTAATGAAGTATAATGTTTAGCATTTTAAAATGTTTCTTGTCGGATTTTTATAGATTTTTATAGATTCAAAATTTAAAATGCTTCAAAAATGACAAAATACAGAATTCTTATAAGAATGGTTTGTGAAGCTATAACCGGCTATAATTGCAACTTTTATATATACCGTGGAGGAGGCAGTCAGTTATAATAAACAATTTTAAATCTTCTGCAGCCATATTTGAACTTATGGCACCACATGTATATGGATAACTATTATAATAGTGTTGACACATGTGAAATACTTTTGCAACATAGATTCCAGACATGTGGCACTATTTGCAGAGAGACCTTCCTCTTTGTTTAAAAAATCCAAAACTGAAAAAGGGGGAGTATATCTTTCATCATCGGCAAAACATTTTATTACAATGTTAGTAATCAAAAAAACTTATTGAATGGTATTGATTGGGTGACAAAGGAAAGAATTTTTAGGTCAATATGCATGGTTGATTATAACAAATATGTAAAAGAGGTTGATTGTGCCAATCAATATTTGTTGTATTACTTTTTACTAAGTTGTACAAAAAAATGGATTGATCTTAAAGGAAGATTGTCAAAGGATGCAAAGAAACATAAATTAGTTAACATTTTTACAGGTGGCATAAAAGTAAAACCCCAGCTTGTTTGTGGTGCGTATAAGAAAAAAAGTTTAACCTGTCAAATGTGCCAATTTTGTGAAGTGTCTCTTCATAAGAGAAACTGATTTTTTAAATACCATAATTTAGAAAACTTTAGGAAAGTAAAACTTTAGAAAACTTTAGGAAAGTGGTTTTTCTACGAAAGTTTAAAAGCAATAAGACATTTTTTATATAAATAGAAATTTATCAACTGATTTTTATTTTTTGAACAAAATATGCAGATATTTAATTAAATAGTTTTATTAAAAAGTATAACATATGTAAAATATAATAAATAAAAAACCAAACATAAATAAAATATAATAAAACATAACAAATAAAAATACAATATACAGTACAGATTCGTTCAATATATTATAATATATAAAATATAATAAACAAAATATGGCATATAAAAATACAATATATAAAATATACAGATAAGTTCAAAAACCAAACATTTTATAAAACAAAATACAATAGTTATGCGTCTTAGTTACTCCAGTTTGATTACCCGCTCAAATAATTGTCATTAAATTTTTGGTTGTGGTTTTTCAATAAAAATAGATAAAATCGGATACTAATACCCGACACGCAGTCCGCGCAGTGGACTGCGTGTGATAAACAGCAGTCCACTGCGCGGTACTAATACCCGACCCTCTCCAAAAGTGTTAACATTTAGTATACCAAATATATGGCAAAGTAAACAGTAAACAGTTAGTGTACTGTATTCTACAATCAATTTTTGTGGTTTATATGTTCATATGTATTAGGTTTTTATGGTATTTTGTTTATTGTTTATATAGTAACATGTATAATTTATATGTTAACATATGTATTTGTTATGTTAGTATGTAATTGGTTTCTACGATAATATGTGTATGGTTTATATGGCGCGACCGGGTATGTTATGTGAACTTTTTTTTTTAGGTATGGGCAAAGTTAAATAGTTTACCTTCAGATCGACCTGACCTTCGTGAAATTGTTTCAAAATATGGGTATTCGTTTGCTCTTGGATGGTTAGGATTCATTCTTGCTTTGCTATCAGGTGTTATAAACATTATTGCAAAATCATAAGGTATCTTTATGTATTTGCTGAAGTTTTAAAAGCTATTTATAACAAAAGCTATGTTATTTATATTCATGATGAAAATATTTTTCATGTGCTTCGGGTACTATCTTTTCTATACGATTTTCGATTCTTTTTTACTGGCGTTGAAATCTGCCGACGCCTTTTGTTATTTATTACACTTTTAATTTTGCACAGTGTATTTACTGATTTTACCTATGTAATAAATTTAAGGTCCGTTTCCTGTTATGTATATGATTCAAAAACGAAGCGGACTTTTTGAAAAAGATTTTTGTTTTTTATTTTGTATAAAGGTGCTTACAACTCGATTATAATTTGTATAAATTTGCTTAGTTAACATTTTAACTCAAGACTAGTTAATATACGTATATTCTTGTATTTAAATAAAAAAAAATAAATTAAGGCTTTATTTTGAATTGATTTTGTTAAAAAATAAATTGTAATTATAAAAAGAACCTGTTTTTTTATATTCTTTTTTAAATTGTAAAATGTATTGGTGTGGGTTTTATTAAGTTTTCATATATTTCATGCAAATGCCTTTTGTACAATAATGATTTGAATGATAATTTTACGTATAATCTGTTTTAATTATTTCAGTCTTATTTTGAATCAAAATATTGAAGACGCTATTCAAATACGTCAATGATGACCTTTTTATTTAGTTTGTAGTTTACTTTTAGCATAGCGTTTTGTAATTGAATCTGTCATCGATAGTAGAGGGTGACACGAAAGTAGGTTTTTGTCCCTAAACCGGTTATCATTTTGTTCCCAATTTTACCCTGACCCCCGTTGTTCCATCACTGGAAGAATTATTGTTTCTGCTTTATTATAAAGATTATCCCTTGTTTTTTTATCCCTGTCTGCTTTATCTTAGAGATTATCCCTGTTCTCTGCAAAATAACTCTTTATCCATATTCTTTTTTTATGATTATCTTTATTCTACTTTTAAATTTTTAGTAGAGATGTCACGAATATTCAGTGACTATTTAGCTACTTTTTTGACTATTCGGTATTCGGACGAATATTGCAAGCTATCCAAATACCAGGTTGTAATGAATAGGGGTGTCCTGGATAAGCTATCCGGGCCGGATATTAGTATTATTCGATATTCGTTATCTGGCCGGATAATAACATTATCCGGTTTTGGATAAACCGGATATTTCAAGTTAATGTTATTTAGAAATTTAAAGATTTAATAAACCAAGAAATGTTATATTTTTAAATAATCTAATGTTAATAGTTTCTATTCAATATTGTTATTATTATTAATAATAGTTTATTATTCATATACTATTAAAATTAAACGCTACTAATACATCAGTTTATCACTCATTTATAAATTTATTTCCATTATGATGAATAAATAGTAACATTTCTCCACGTTGAGGTAACAGTCTTGATCGCTTTTTCTTGTAAATATTTCCATATTTGGAAAATTATTGCCTTGAAAATACAGAGGATGCTGGAGGTGCTAATAATTTCAGAGTTAACTCTTTTAGAAGTGGAAACTTCTCTTCGTGTTTCCAATAATTAAAAACGTCTTTTTTTTTTTCTGTCATCGAGTGATTAAAGAAAAAATCAACTTCTTGAATAACTTTTACAAGGGAGACTTGATCAGGATTTATTTCACCATTTTGTTTTGTAATATAAAAGAATTTAAATACTAAAGATGATTTATTTATTTACATATATTTTTATTCAATAACAAGTATATAATACTTAAATCAACAAACCCACAATAAGCAGTTAGTAGCTGTTATTAAAAAAAAAAAATTAATAAAAAATTTTTTTGTTTATCAAAAAAAAAATTTTAAATTATTAAAAACTTTTTTAATAAACAGAAAGAGATTATCTTACCTAAATTTCCTTCATATTCTACAAGTTCAAAAAAGCAGGAGTTAAAGTCATTCTCTTCTTCTTTTTTTTGGATTTTGGCGTTAAATGATTGGAGATAATGGTGGTCAAGCTGGTAGCTCTATTAATAACAACTGATAAAAGTCCACTTATATTTCTTTGATTTTTGACTGCTGACCAGATCTACTACACCCCCTGCTTATCTGCTTTCCACATGGAATGCAAATAGCTATAGAATCACAGTTATCACTAATTTTAAAAGTTTCCATTTTGAAGGGTTATTACGGTAACTTTTGTCTTAATGTAATATTTACCTTACATTATCTGTATAATTGTTAAATATCCGGTTATTCGCTATCCGGCCGGATAATTAAAAAATGCTATCCGGGACACCCCTAGTAATGAACTGTCACCGGTAAATAATAAGAAAAATTAAGCAAGTTCTTTTAGAATAATTTTGTGTTTTCTGACCACAACTTTTGCTGTCTAATCGAAGCGAACAGTTTCATGTGAAAACTAATTTCGAATTTTGCAACAATGGCGTAGTGGTTAGAGCGCTTGCTTTATAAGCAAGAGATCCAGGGTTCAAAGCAAGCACTGGGCATATTTCTAACCTCCTAGTTAAATGCTCTTCTGCGGTGCTCTGTGACAAGACCATTAGGTCTTCTTGGTACCTAAAACAAAAATTTTTAAAAATTTTCATTTTCTTAAGTTCATTCGTGTCAAACAGCCTTTCACTGAGAAGGATTAACCTTTCACTGATAGAATCTTTCTCAGAGCTTTTAAATATTTGTTTTATTCTGCTCGCTTTGTTTTAACTAGTCTATTGATTTTTGTCTTGGAACGTGCTTTAACAAAAAAGAATTTCATTAGTGGGAACTCGCATAAATGCAAAGGAGTTGAAAAAACTGGCATAAGTGCAAACTGATGTAAGTTCCACTTGGCATAAGTGTGCCAAAAAAACCCGCAAACATTGGCATAAAAGCAAAACTGGCATTAATTCAAACTCTCATAAGTGTGAAGCATAAATTGGCTTATGCGTAAACTAGCATATGTGTGCCAAAAAAATTTGCAATAACATAATGGCATAAGTACGCCAAAACAATTTCAAAACATTGGCATAGGATTTGCACTTATGCTCAATTTTGCTACTGCTTTGCACTTAAGGTAATTCGCACGCATGCCAATTTGCACATATGCCAATCTTTGCAAATTCTTTCAGCGCACTTATGCTAATTAATTCACACTTATGGCGCCCTTATGCTAATTCGCATTTGTGCAAGTTTTTGCAACTGTTTTACACTTACACCTTATACCACTTATACTAGTCATACAATGGACTAAGAAAAGCTTCAAAAATTGAGCAAAAATTATATTTCAAATACTTATAAAACAAAATCCAAAGCAAAACTACAAATATAGAAAAGCTATAAACTCCTATTTGTAAAAGTTCGTAAAAATTAAAAAATATATATTACCCTAATCTAATTACTAAATATAAGAAATAAAATAAACAACGTATGTATATGTGCAGCCGTATGTATCATGAGCAGCCGTGGCGCAGTGGTTAGAGTTCTTACTCAGAACTCAGAGGTCCGAGGTTCGACGCCAGCTCTAGCCCAACAAGCGACAGGTACGGAAGGAGGCGTGAACTTCCTGTTAAATGCTCTCCCGCGGTGCTCTATGATAAGACCTAAATACATACCAAAAAAATATATATATATATGTGAACCTAATAAAATAGAATACATACTTTACGGCATCGAAAGTAAATTTGCTAATAGGATTTCTTCTACTGATATTTCATTTCATTATTTTAAAAATCTATCAATAGTTCACCTTTTTACAATAATTTATAGCTAGATTTATCAATTAAAGAATTTGAAGGGCCTTCAAATCTCTAAAAGCAATCGGCGCGGACGAAATAAACAGAAACATATTTATAGATTGCAATGAAAATTTGAAAGATAAGTCTTCAAAGCATCCTTACAATAAGGGTTTTTTCCTGACCAGCTAAAAATCTCCACAGTTTACACGATTTGCAAAGAAGGTGTAAAACCAAATGTTGTTAATTATCGCTCAATTTCTGTCCTCTCTACGTTTTCTTAAATTTGACATACAACCTGATTACAAATAATTTACTGTATAAAAACCGATTTAAATCACAGCAGTTAAGTTTTCTAATTACAAACCGTGGTCCATCAGTACGAAATCATTTCCAAAATAAAAATATTAAATAACTTAAAAAGCATTTCATCGTTTAAATGACAAACTAAAATGGCAGTAGCGCAATTTGGGGGGTTTCCATGGTACCCGGAAACCCCTTTTTAAGTTGTTAAAAAAAATTAAATTTTCTTGTTTCTGCTTTATACACTACTAATTGTTATTAAGGGTGTTGTGTTAAGTTCGACAGGAAGAAAAAGTGTAGGAATTTAAAATGAAATTGACTTTATGCCAAAAAAGTAAATATATAATATATAAATAAGCACGCTTTGGGTTTCACAAAGTTAAAACCAAGGATTCATAATATTGGAAACCCCTTTTCAGAAATCCTAATTGTGCGGCTGAATACATCTTCTTAATTCCTGACATATATTATAGTTTACAGTATTTGTTTTAAGATTTTTGAAATTTTTTCTTCTTCTTTTTTTCTTATTATTTGTTTTATATTTTTTGTTTTCAATTTTTTTACACAAAAAAAAAATTTTTAGTTTTGTTTTATTGAATTTTTATTTTATTTTAAAAATTAAAGTCTTTTTTTTAATGAATGACTTATATATATATATATATATATATATATATATATATATATATATATATATATATATATATATATATATATATATATATATATATATATATATATATATATATATATATATATATATATATATATATATATATATATATATATATATATATATATATATGTATATATATTATATATATATATATATATATATATATATCATAGAAAAATTAAAAACCTTTTTATCAAGATGTTTACGATGTTATTTATTTTTTACATAATTATATGAAAATTTTAATATTGTTTAACCAGCGAAAAATTATATAATAAATATATAAAAAAAATTTGGTTTTTTAAAAAATAGTTAATCGGAACGAGCCATTGTACAGTTTACACGTGAAATTAAGGACCGGTGAATATTCGTTAAAATTTGGATTACTAAAAGGCGAAGTTGACTTCGGCTTCGACTTCAGTGCCAAAATTTAAATAGAAATTCGGCTTTCAGTTAAATTTGGTAACAATTGCAAAACTTAATTTAACTTTCAGTTAAATTCGAATCATAAATTATATTACATTTTTTATGATTATGAACTTGTTTTTCCACGCAACCATCACGCGGACCTTCAGACATGACTATTGTATAGTCCCTTAACCAACGCATAACAGTAAAATTTCTTTCACATTTAAATGAAATTACAGGAAGCGTATTAAATTACAGTAAATTTAGGAAATGAAATTGATGTCTGTTAAAAATGTATTCTCAGAAATAGTCCAAAAGAAACTTTGCCAATATTTTTAAGGAAGACTAAGGCTCCCATTTAAAGCACTAATATTGGAAAAATTACTTTTATTCACTTTTCAATAAACTTAATGTTTAAATTTTATTGTATTAAAGTCAAACATTGTAATGTAAAATTTATTTTAAAAAACTTATCCTAATGGTGATAATTTGACACTAAAGTATAAGGTGAGCCA